CACTCTTGACTTAGGGGGATTATGAAATATTTTATTTGGTGTGACCGAACCGTAAGGCTGCCTACGTATCTTGGCGTGTCAAAGGACAAAGTTTTTTTTTCTTTTTCTTCTCTCTTTTGTTTTTCCTTTTTCCTTTTTTTTTTCTTTTCTTTTTTTTTCTTTTTCTCTTTTCCTTTTTTTTCTTCTCTTTCTCTTTTTCTTTTCCTTTTCTAGTTCCTAACTCTATTTCTGATTCCAAAAGAGGGGCATGAAACAAAAATTAGGCTCAAAATGGGTAGCAAAGGATAAAAGTATTTGGGTAGTAGAGTAAAATGCCTTCGTCATACCAAACTTTAAAAATACCAAGTACAAACATGCAGTTGAAGATAAGCAAAGAAATCCAAACAAAAGTGCCAATGGGAAATACCTCTGTACCACTGAATGATCCTTGCCAGTTCGAAGCAGATTTAATTCAAACTTATCTTGATGTGGAAGAATGCATTTCAACACTGATTGATCTACCTCAAACTGCTTGAGAGACATTCCCTTGTTGTATGCTCTCATCACCCTCTTGATTTTCCAGACTAACTGCCTCAGTTTCACTCAATTCAAGCTTCAGGTTATCTCAGAATGAATGAATCTTTACTTGTTTCCTCAAATGCCTCTTTTTATCATGTTCAAAACTATGTCATTGCTTCATGATTAAACTAACTTTCAAGACCAGGCTAAGAATTATGCGTGCAAGTCATGTCACTAGAGTCAGGCTGAAAAGGACTATAAAAGGAAAAATAACCTAAACAAAGACTGACCAGAACTTATAGAAAATAGGAGATTGTATTATACTGGTGGTGAAAAGGATTTGAACAAAACAAGCAAAATAGACATGGGTTGCAACCCTGAAACAATCCTATGTTACGACCCGGATTCGCACCCTCGAGAGTCGTGATGGCGCCTACTAGTACGAGCTAGGCAAGCCAATTAATTGCACAATTTACCTTTTTACCCATTTTATATTCATTAACAATTTCAAAATGATAACATTTAAACAACGGAATTTAACACAAGCGGAAGAAAGAAACAATAAGCTATCTGAACATGAATATCTAATACAACTATTAGAGTCTCGACTACCCAGAATTGGTGTCACAGTTTCACAGACGGTCTAAGAATACTACAAATAAAGGGTCTTAAAGGAATAAATACAACACTGTCTCTAGAAATGCAAGAAAGAAACAGGAACAGTACATAGAAGGAGACGCCAAGGCCTACGGACGCCTGCAGGACTATCTCGGGTCGCCTGATGATCAAGAATCAGCAATCTCACTGCGGTCCGAAGTCCACAACACTAGAGTCTGCACAAAAGAGTGCAGAGTGTAGTATCAGCATAACCGAACCCATGGGCTGGTAATTGCCTAGCGTAACCTCAGCGAAGTAGTGACGAGGCTAGGACCAGACTACCAAATAAACTTGTGCATTTCAAATATATATATANAAATCACAATATAAGACCCACAGTCATGCTTGACACCAACGTATAGATACTCGTCACCATGCCTATACATCGTACTCAACAAAAAGCAAATAGCAAATAGGACACAACTCCCAATCCCTCAAGCTAAGGTTAGACCAAACACTTACCTCGATGCCACGAACACAATTCATGTTTCAATTATAGCTTTACCCCTTGATTCCACCACAAATTCGCTCGAATCTAGCCACAAGTTACTTAATTACGTCAATAAACGCTAAATGAATCAACCCCAATGCATGAAAATGAATTTTCTAAAGATTTACCCAAAAAGTCAAAAATCGCTCTCGGGCCCACATAGTCAAAACCCGAGGTTCGAACCAAAACCCGATTACCTATTCCCCCACGAACCCAAATATATGATTTGTTTTGAAATCGGACCTCAAATCGAGGTCCAAATCCCCAATTTTTGAAAAATCTAGGTTCCACCCAAACACCCGATTTCCCCCATGAAAATCATTGATTTTGAATTGAAATCATGTGAAAAGATGTTAATGATCGAAGAAAATGAGTTAGAAATTACTTACCAATATTTTGGAGAAGAAAGGACGTTTGAAAAATCGCCTCTTATGTTTTTGGGGTTTTTGAAAAATAAAGAAAATGACTAATGACTGAAAATCCCGTCTATTTATACCCCTCTCGAACCTTCTGTGCGGACCGCACAAAACCGACTGTGGACGCACAGTGCAGTGAACCTGAGGACCTGTAAAGCTGTGCGGACCGCACAAAACCGACTGCGACCGCACAGCCTCCACCGCGCACTGCACGAAACCTCACGCATACCGCACTGGCCCCTTCCGCAGTCCCACACGATTTCTCGCGGACCGCACTAGCGGGTTTAGAGACCTGAAAATTTCTCTGAACCTGCAACAACTGTGTTTTTTTAGGCCTAAGGCATCCCGGAACCTGCCCGAAACTCACCTGAGCCCTCGAAACTCCACACCAAGTGTGCTTACTAACTCAAAAACATCCTACGGACTTATTCATATAATCAAATCACCAAAATAACATCATGAACATCGCATTAAATCTCAAGATCAATGAAATTTCTCAAAACTTCTTTAAATATCAAATTTTGCATTTAAGACCCGAATCACATCGAATGGATTTCGTTTCTTACCAAACTTTACCGTCAACACATATAAATCATATTGAACCCGTACCGGGCTACGGAACCATAATACGAGCCCGATATCATAGGTTTCACATAACATTTCACTTTCAAAAACCTTTATATTTTTCATAAAATAATTTCTTTCAAAAATTCATTTCTCGGGCTTGGGACCTCGGAATTTGATTCCGGGCATACGCCCAAGTCCCATATTTTCCTACGGACCCTCCGAGACCGTCAAATCACGGGTCCGAGTTCATTTACCCAAAACATTGACCGAAGTCAAATTAATTCATTTTATAGTCAAAATTTATTATTTTTCACAGATTTTCACATATAGGCTTTCCGGCTAAGCACCCCGACTGTGCACGCAAATCGAGGTGATGATAAAAGAGGTCTTTAAGGCCTCAGAACACATAATTCATTTTAAAAAAAGGTCATCACATCCTAAATAACACTAGACGAGTTACTACAACTAAACGAACTAGACAAAATAAGAAAAAGAGGGGTTTGAGCCGCAAGACAATGTCGGGATTACAACTCTAAAATAACCCGGACAACAAAAATGACATCAAAATAAACCACCAAAACTCCTCCCTAGCTATCCAAGAAAGGAGTGTTTTTCCAATTACCAAGCTCGACATCTTAGCCACTGGGTTGCACATCAAGATTACTGGGACCTTCACCAATTTCAATATCATTAACTTCAGTCATCAAGTTCCCAAGAGGATTCTCATACTCCCTGTCACCACGTATCTTCCCTACAAAGTGTGCATCATCATGTGCAGATAAAGGATTCTGTGCAATGTTCTGGGTGTCACTGTCTTGGACCACAATTATCCCTTCTTGAATCATTCTTTTTATCTCCCTTTTCAAAGCACGACAATCTTCAATGTTATGCCCTTGTACATTAGAGTGGTACATGCACCGTACAGTAGGATCAAAACCTTTTGCATATGGGTCCGCAGTATAGCCGTTGAGCGGCTCAATCAGGCCAGACTGTTTTAACCTTTCAAACAAGCTTGTGTAGGATTCTCCGATTGGAGTGAAAGACTTTTTTCTTTGCTGTTGCCTTCTCATTTTGTACTCCGGCCTTGGTTGGAACCTGTTTCGGGTAGGGATTGATATGCTTGTAGAGGTGGGTAAGACATTTGCGGGTTTTGTGAGTGGGGAGCATATGGCAGTGCATTGTGGATAAAGTACTGGGGAGGTGAGGTATAACTTCTGGGATTTTTTGGAGGAAAGTAGCATTGGTGAGGATTATCTGGAGTACGAGGATATTCATGGGGTCGGTATTGAAGTTGAAAGCGTTTAGCAGGAATGCCCACTGGATCATGTCGTTGGTGGGGCTCAGCAACATCTTTTTTACCAATCGGAGAACTGACCCGAGCAACTTGTTCGTTCCATCTGAACCAAAACTCCCTAAAACTTTCCTTGGGCATCGGGAACTTTGAACACAATCTCACTAGAGGATCGAGGAAGAGTAGCTGGTGGAGGAGCTACAAAAATAGGAGTTAATGTCGGAGCAGGGTATGAGGTTGTTTTGGCTGGTGGAGCATGGAAAATTTGGGAGGAAGTGTCAGGGTAATTGTGGTAAGGGGTAAAGCCCCGTGCATATTGAGGGGAAAGGTCGACGGTAGTGGGAACCTAGGCTTGTGATAGTGGTGGGATAGTTGCAGGGTTTTCAGTGTAGTTAGTGGGGAATGAAGGTGGAGGATGCCCCCTGACCCAAGACTGATGCATTTCTGTCATCTGTTGTTTCAACCTCTGGACCTCCTCTTTTAATTCAGATTCCGACTTCTCAATCTCCCTCGACGGGTCAATAGCTCTTGTGTCCAAGTCTTTGCTAGCCATGGGTACCTTGCTCTTTTGACCTTGTGTCGCACAGATGACTCGCCAAAGTACCACAAACTAACCACACTCTGTTATGATAACAATGAAAGTAACAAAGGAGAGCAAAACAAAGCCAACAGGTTAGCGTTAGAGCATTTATCAGATAGAAATATCACATTGCGTGTAATGCCTCTAGCAAGAATTAATGGTTCTAAAATGGCTTCGAGGGTACGAAGGTCATATGGCACCATCCCAATTTCACTCTTCTTGCCCCATTTCCTTCTTCATCTTCCTTTATAACACCGCCTGGTTTTTCATTTCTTTTTCCCTCTTTTCTTTCTGATTATCGCTATTTTCTTTCCTCTCATTTCTCACGTCTCACAACTTCATTCTCTTTTTTTTAATATTATTATTTTTTTTTAAAAAAAATGATTCGATCAAACCTTATGTAGGTTGCCTACGCATCATGTCCTTCATGAATCAGATCAAGCATAGTTCTGATAAAGTAATGGACAAAATAAACTAAAAAACAAAAAAATGGATTTTTCATAAAAAAAATTCTTTTTGGTTTTTCAAATACAAAATGGGAAGTACTATAATAAAAGACTCGACAATCTTAACTAGACTGACAGACTTGATACTATTGTACAAGACTAAAAATTAAAAAAATATAAAATAGCCTAAAAAATAAAAAGTTTCCTCAAGCAGCTCGTGCATGCAATGGTCTTGACTAGAATGGTCTTGGGGTATTTGTCATGCTCAAACTCTAGCAAATTGATCCATACCTGAATGAGAAAAATAAGATCAAATAGAGTTAGTGACTCAAGACACATGTGACGCCATGACACCTTCTATTGGACACGTGCAAGGCATGAGTAAGGCTATTTTTGCAAAATGACCTACGTAGCCAAAATGTGGCTATTAGCGTAAACTCAACAAAGATGGCCTCAAATACATGGACATACCTTACTAAGGCTTATATGGATTCGAACTCCCAATAATCATAGCCCAAAATTAATTTGCAAAAATGACTTATTTTGCAAAAATGACCGATATGGCCCGAAGTGGCTAAAGATGCAAACTCAAAAAGGAAGAACCATAAAGTAATATGACACCTAGTGGTAGACTAAAAATCCTAAGACATGGGTAATTGAACCACTTTTGCAAAAATGACCCCATTTTGCAACAATGGTCGATGTGGCCAAAAGTGGCTAGACATACAAATTAAACAGGAATGGACCTTAAAACTGAGAGGACACCTTGTTGTGGGCTTAGGACTCTAATACATGGTTAACAAGTCATTTTGCGAAAATATCCCTATTTTGCAAAAACAGCCGATGTGGCCAAACGTGGCTAGACATGCAAGATTTGGTTAAGACTCCGCGAAACCAAGAACCTAGGACACTAGGAAGACCGGACCCTATGTGAGTTGCCTACGTATCCTGACCCGAAAGACGAGAATCAGGTATGCGTAGTTCGGAAAAATTGGATATGAGAGAAAGCTTAAAAAAATGCAACTAGTTTGGAAAAACTATAGTTTTTGTCTTTTTGGAAAATGAGGGAAAAGGTAAAATCTTTTTGGATTTTCTTTCTTTTTTTCTTTTTTTGGGTTTTTGAAAAATGATGGAAAAGTGTAAAATCTTTTTGGATTTTCTTTTTCTTCTTTTTTTTTTTTTTGGAAAATGATGGGAAAGTGTAAAATCTTTTTGGATTTTATTTTTTTATTTTATTTTTTTTTTTGGAAAATGATGGGAAATTAGAAAATCTTTTTTTGAATTTTTCATTTACAATTTTTTTTTGTCTTTTCTTGAAAAAGTTGTGAAAGAAAAATATAACTAGGTCCTACTTGCTTTATGTTTCACCCTTCTTTCACAAATATCGATCCGCCAAATAACCTTTTTACCCTCAAAGATGCAACATGGATCACATAGGGATGATTGAATGTCTTTTTGGGCCACGGGCCCATTTTGACAAAATTTTCCTACAAAGGGACACGATACTTGGGACCGAGCCCTGCTAGGTCTAAATGACATGATGCAAATAAAAATGACCTAAAGGCTGACTTAGGTTTGGGGTTCACTAACACGGCAATTCGGGGGACCGTATGGTCGGTGGTGGCTGCTCAAGCTTTCCACCCACTCCATAAGTCCGACGGCCCCCCTCCTAAATTAAGGGTGACTCAACAAAGAGTCCGTGCACGCGACGCATACTCCGAGACTTGTTGCAGAAAGAAGACCCATGGTTATGCAAATGATGATCGTTTATAAAGAAGTAACACATTAAGAACAGCGATAAACAAATAACGAACAAAACAAGGAAATAAGACAAACAAAGCAAATAAAGAAAACAAACACCTCAACCGAATTCTAGAAGCCAACAACATCAAGTACCAGCTCGAACCTGCAACTCCCCAGCAGAGTCGTCAGATATGTCAAACTCCTTTTTTCGACCTCACTTAACTCTCTTAAATTAATAAAAGATTTGTAAAGCTTGAAAAGGGTTTTTAATTAAAAAGTGACAAAAATTGGTGTTCAAAAGGATTAACTGAGAGTCGCCAGCTGACATTTAATTTCGGTGTGCCAGGTCACTATTTTTTAAAAAAAAATATTTTTCCTTTCAAAACACTTGAGACTCCAAAACTAAGTTTGCACCAGAGATTTGGGTAAGGGAGTTTATTTGACTCGGGGAGAAGGTGTTAGGCACTCCCCAAGTCCGTAACTAGTACGGTTGCATACTTGATCTAGTCGGCTTCTAAAACATTCAAGTTGAGGTAAAATCACGGAAAAGCAAAGTAAACACACACGAGGCTCGAGGTCGTCCCCACCTAATAAGAGATAAAAAACGAAAATAAAAATAAGATATTACGAGTTCTACTTTCGGCCTACAAATACAAATACTTCAAGGCATACCCCGAATAAAAATATATACAAATCCTTCGGGGCATTTCCCGGATAAATTTAACTAAGGGAACGACCTCTCGCCTCGAAACTAACAAAAATCCTAAGGCTTGCTGATCCAAGTGCGGCTGACCTAAAACATGTTACTAGTGGATGATGGGAAGAAATAAACGAAAACTAACTAATAGGAGAATTCAATTTATGCTCATTTTTTCTTAACAATTAATTTCATTTGTTAGACCGAGCTCAATCCTAAAGCATGCAGGTTAGTTAAACACTAATGGGCTCGACCTTTACCCATATCCCGTGACCCAATCGTTCAAACAAAAGATAATTTTGTATTAAACTAATTAGCCAGTGAACTACACACCCAACAAAATGAACATCCAAACCATAGAAAAGATAGAACCCGAGAAAAGTTAAACTAACAACCAAATGAGAAAGGCGAGTCAAAACTATCATAAAGAGCCATCAAAAGACATTTTGTTCCTTTGGTTCTAAGTTTGCCTCTCGACGTGATGTTTCAAAGCATGTAAATCATGGATTCTAATAGTAATGATAAACCTTTAAATAAGCACATAAAGTCATTCTTTTACCCAACATTCCAAAACAATGAAAGCCTCTCAAATATTCATCCATGTACATAAACTAAAGAAGACAAAAAGAACACATCAAATAGATTATTTATCTACCAAGATTCTTCAATGTGTCAGACCAGATTCAGCACACAAAAATACTACACCAGCTATAATCCATAAAACAGAAGATATGCACTGCACCAAGATAGATCAATTAACACAAACTGTCACTATAAATTAAACCCCATATTTTAATGGCTCTTTTGAAGTTTGATTCATAGCAAATAGAACTAACTAAAGAGGGATTAATAGAAATGAACCTGTTAAGTGCTTCTCCTTTAATATGTAAAGAAAGTTTTACCAACAGATTCAACAAGATGAAGGCCCGAGGAAAATACAACCATATGAAGCAGGAACTGCGAATTCAAACAAGGAAACGATCTCGAACAGAAACTCCAAATCCGAACACCCACTTCAACTTGATTCCATTTTGAAAACCAAATCAAAAAGGAAGAAATTCCAGAATATATCTTTACTTTTCTGATTTTTTTTTTTTTTGAAATTTAAGAGAAAACTTGAAGAAAAACTAAAATGGAAAAATGGAAAGAAGAAGAACTCGTTTCTCTGCCTTTCCTCCCCAATGTTATCCCCAAAATTTCGTCCCAAATTCTTTGTCCAGAAGCTCTCGTGTTTTTTTTTTGTTTCAGGCGAGGTCAGCGGCAGCGACTGGCTAGTTATGGGTTGAAGAAGGCTGGTGGCGTGCGGCTATTTCTTGGCGATTTTGATAGGTGAAGAAGATGGGATCGCAGCTGGATGTTGGAGAAGGAAAGGGAGTAGCGGCGAATCCGTTCTCTAGAAAGGGTCCTCCCCGCTAGTCTTGTTCTCTTAGGTTATTAGGAGATTAGGCTTTTTTTATCTCCTTAAGGGAAATGGGGTATGGGATAAAAAGATTTGTGCTTCAAAATTGGGCTCTAGTTTCCTACAAAAATTGGGCTAAGAAAGCTGAAAATTCAATTTGTTTTTTTCAAAAGTAATATGAATACTTATAAAAGATATAAAATTACTCCAACTAATTGATTTTAATAAACTATTAATATTCAATAAAATTAAAATTAAAGATGAAACTATTTTTGTAGTTTCAATTTTTAAATTAAAATAAAGTTGGTTCAAAATAATATTATCCTTCTAAAAATATTTAATACGTGAATTAAATAGGGAAATATGGAACTATTTTTGTTATTTTCAGTTTTTGGCCTTAAAATAAAGTAGAAGATTCAAAACTAGTTAAGAAAATAATATTAGGCCTAAATTAAATATTTAAATACTAAAATATGTAAAATCTTAGGGAGGGTCAAAAATCACATCTCTACAGCTGCCCCTCTTTGACTGGAATTACGAAGTATTTTCAGACAAAGAACGACTAGACAGGTTTTTTGACCCGACCCTTATTTAGGTAGACCAAAAACTAAGAGGAAGGAGAATGTGACCAAGCCCTGGTATCTGAGCTGCCTACATATCCTTGGCTATAAAGGAATCAGGCCATGTGTAGTTCAAAAGTAGGAACAGTGATGGAGTGTACCGAGGTGGAGAGCCGATTGAGGTGACGTCGAGGTTCCGGTCTACGGTCCTATTATTACATCAAAATCAAAAATGAAAAACACTAGCTAGGCCTGTCAACTATGAGTTACAAGATTCCTATCTATAAGTCTTCTGAAGCTTGATCTTGAGTCTTGAATGGTTCTTCATGCAGACTTTAGATTTGAACCTTGGCGCTTGCTACCTGCAGGTGCTAGTTCATTCTTCTTAAGCTTTTCGGATCAAAACCGGACATGTAGAGCTCGTGACTTCCACCATGTCTTGAGTAGTTCACATTTTTCCCTGCTTCTGCATTTTGGGTTCACTTCTTTTTTCTTTTCTTTTATTTTGGATTGAGGCTACTTATGTTGGTCATCTCGAACTGTTGACTCGCATTCTTACCGCAAGCTTCTGCTACTTCTAACATGAATTGAATTCTGAAATGACATTCCCTTGTTCTTCATGTGGGCGCCTACTACTGACATAAAATTTGAAGTAACTCTGAAAAGAATTCCTTCATTCTCCAGGTGGGTGCCTGCAGTCAAAACAACAAAACAAACAAAATTTTCTGCCCCAGTTTGCACTAGGAAGATTTGTGAGTTGTTAGCAAAACTATAAATCACCTATGTTATTGATGCAATGATGAGAGAAAAACTAAAGACTTGACTGGGATGTGCATCTCTTGTTAGTAAAACCAAGAACATTTGACTAACAAATTCATCAGACTAGGTCCCTTTTTTCTTTTCTTTTTTTCTTTTTGTTGTTATCTTAGGACAATGACTTATCAGACTAAGATGTCGATCCTAGGAGAAAATTTATCAGACTAGGTTTTCTATCTTAGGAGAAAAATTCATCAGACTAGGTTTTCTATCTGAGCAGAAAAATTCATCAGACTAAGATTTCGATCCTAGGAGAAAATTCATCAGACTAAGATTTCGATCCTAGGAGAAAATTCATCATACTAGGTCTTTTTGTTATCTTAGGAGAAAGATTCATCAGACTAAGGTTTTGATCCTAGGAGAAAATTCATCAGACTAAGTCTTCTATCTTAGGAGAAATATTCATCAGACTAAGATTTTGATCCTAGGAGAAAGTTCATCAAACTATGTTTTTTTGTTATCTTAGGAGAAAGATTCATGAGACTAAGATTTTTTCTGTTATCTTAGGAGAAAGATCCATCAGACTAAGATTTTGATCCTAGGAGAAAGTTCATCAGACTAGGTTTTCTTATCTTAGGAAAAAAATTTATCAGACTAAGATTTCTATCCTAGGAGAAAATTCATCAGACTAGGTTTTCTATCTTAGGAGAAAGATTCATCAGACTAAGATTTTGATCCTAGGAGAAAGTTCATCGGACTAGGTTTTCTTATCTTAGGAGAAAGATTCATCAAACTAACATTTTAATCCTAGGAGAAAGTTCATCAAACTATGATTTTGATCCTAGGAGAAAGTTCATCAGACTTGGTCTTTTTGTTATCTTAGGAGAAAGATTCATCAGACTAAGATTTTGATCCTAGGAGAAAATTCATCAGACTAGGTCTTCTATCTTAGGAGAAAGATTCATCATATTAAGATTTTATTGGGAATAAAATCCATCAGACTAGGACTTTTATCTTAAGAGGAAAAATGTGAAGAGCAATGGCAACATTTTATGCACACTTGCAAGACAGGTAAGGGAAAAGATTTGAGAAACTTCTCTTTGTCGACTCTTCTATTCTTCTTCTTTTTCCTTTTTCTTTCTTTTCTTTTCTTTCTTTTCTTTTTTTTTTCTTTCTTATTTTTGAAACAAATTGCTTGCACTGCTTTGTTCCTATTTCAAATAAAGAAAACTTGTGAGTTTAAATGTGGTGGTTAGTTTGTGGCCTTGACCTTGAGGGCAGTTGCTTCTACACTTGCCAAAATAACTTTAATTTCAACTCGGACGACCTTGACTGTTATTGACTACTCATTTTCTTTCAACCCTTATCACAGAAAATACCTCTTCTCCATTCAATCCCAATATTCCTCTATTTGTTGTATTTTGCTCATGAATTGACATTTACCGAACCTTTGCATTTCACATGAATTCCAAAGCATGTTGATTGTCACCAACTTAATGTGCATACCACTTTTCTTTGACTTATGCCACTTTGATGTGCTATCCAAATTCATTCTGTGCAATTGGAAAGTTGGTAGCGAATTTTGAAGTCATTTCTCATTTGTTCTAACCAAACAGACTCAAGAAGGGACTCAAACAAAATAAGGGACAAGGGAAAGAGATGATTCCTAACAAGAAAATTACAAAGTAGAAACTTATCAGATGTGGATACCAACTCTAATGACCATGACATGCACCTTTGGATTAAGTTGCATAATCTCTCTAGCAAGTCTAATATTCAACTCTTATTGTACCTCTTCGCTGTGAAACTAGGCTTCAGCGCTTCAATTGTCCCATCTGATCCATAATCCTCAGTCGACTTGTAGTGGCCTGAAGGGTTTTCACCATCAAGCCTCTCTCATTTTGCTCTTTTCTCAACTCATCGTCGCCTTACGGTGCCCATGAGGGTTTTCACCAATAAGACTCTCTCATTTTATCATTTTCTCTCTTTGTGCTGAGAACAAGGTATTACTCATGATACAAGAAGAATAGACATCTACCACACACTTGATTTGGCATCCTCAAAGATTGGTCAGAAGGTCTTTCTTTGGACCGTAATGTAGGCTTTTGGACAGGGTTAGAAAGAAAGGGTGACATGAAGACTCAAAATAATTTAAGATGAAAGGGTTCAAAATTATAACGTTTGGAATCAGGTCTTTTGGCAAAATTAAAACTTTGCCCCAGTTTCTTGGAGTTTGGGGATTTTTTTTTTTTTTTGCTTTGATGGGATTTCAAAGAAAAAATTCCCCACTCTTGACTTCGGTGGATTATGAAATATTTTATTTGGTGTGACCGAACTGTAAGGCTGCCTACGTATCTTGACGTGTCAAGAATCAGGTCGAACGTAGTTCAAAGGACAAAGTTTTTTTTCTTTTCCTTCTCTCTTTTGTTTTTCCTTTTTCCTTTTTTTTCTTTTCTCTTTTTTTTTCTTTTTCTCTTTTCTTTTTTTTCTTCTATTTCTCTTTTTCTTTTCCTTTTCAAGTTCCTGACTCTATTTCTGATTCCAAAAGAGGGGCATGAAACAAAAATTAGGCTCAAAATGGGTAGCAAAGGATAAAAGTGTTTGGGTAGCAGAGTAAAATGTCTTCGTTATACCAAACTTCAAAAATTCCAAGTACAAACATGCAGTTGAAGATAAGCAAAGAAATCCAAACAAAAGTGTCAATGGGCAATACCTCTGTACCAATGAATGATCCTTGCCAGTTCGAAGCAGATTTGATTCAAACTTATCTTGATGTGGAAGAATGCATTTCAGTACTGATTGATCTACCTCAAACTGCTTGAGAGACATTCCCTTGTTGTATGCTCTCATCACCCTCTTGATTTTCCAGACTAACTGCCTCAGTTTCACTCAATTCAAGCTTCAGGTTATCTCAGAATGAATGAATCTTTACTTGTTTCCTCAAATGCCTCTTTTTATCATGATCAAAACTATGTCATTGCTTCATGATTAAACTAACTTTCAAGACCAGGCTACTAATTATGCATGCATGTCATGTCACTAGAGTCAGGCTGAAAATGACTATAAAAGGAAAAATAACCTAAACAAAGATTGACCATAACTTATAGAATATAGGAGATTGTATTAAACTGATGGTGAAAAGGATTTGATCAAAACAAGTAAAATAGACATGGGTTGCAACCCTGGAACAATCCTATGTCACGACCCGGATTCCCACCCTCGGGAGTCGTGATGGCGCCTACTAGTACTAGCCATGAAAGCAAATTAATTTCACAATTTACCTTTTTACCCATTTTATATTCATTAACAATTTCAAAATAATAACATTTAAACAACGGAATTTAACACAAGCGGAAGAAAGAAACAATAAGTTATCTAAACATGAATATCTAATACAACTATTTGAGTCTCGACTACCCAGAACTAGTGTCACAGTTTCACAGACGGTCTAAGAATAGTATAAATAAGGGGTCTTAAAGGAATAAATACAACACTGTCTCTAGAAATGCAAGAAAGAAACAGGAACAATAGATAGAAGTAGACGCCAAGGCCTACGGATGCCTGCAGGACTACCTCGGGTCGCCTGATGATCAAGAATAAGCAATCTCACTATGGTCCAAAGTCCACAACACTAGGGTCTGCACAAAAGAGTGTAGTATCAGCACAACCGAACTCATGTGCTGGTAAGTGCCTAGCCTAACCTCAACGAAGTAGTGACGAGGCTAGGACCAGACTACCAAATAAACCTG